TTATTTTAAAGTTTAAATATATGTGTATATATGTGTATTTAACTTGTTTTAGTATCATGTGTTTTATATTTTTGATGATGGTTACAAGTTTTAAACATATAAAACTATGAAAAAAACCTTACAACATATAATTACAAATATACTTATTCACGTCCCTGGCATTCACTTCCATAACATGTAAAAACATTTTATTTTTAGTTAACGTAGAGGGAAAGGCAACATAGCTTGGGGGGTCAGAAGCCAGTCTTGTTGTTGGCTCTGTCTCTAACACATCTTGGGTGGAGGCATTTAGTCCCTTGGTATCTCGGACATACCCCTAGACTATTAATTACTGATGTGATGCCAGTTTCTGTTGTTGCAAGGAGTTTCTACAGTAGGTATTCTACAATAACATGCTCATTGTTCTGACTCCTTCTAATTCCTCCTTTGAAAAAGGAATATAGGTGATACCATTAGCAAATTAGGAGAATGTGGAATAATTTACCTGTCAGATCTGTGGATAAGTAAAGAATTTATGACCACATGAAATAACATTACAAGATATAAAATGGATAGTTCTGATGACGTTAAATTAAAAGGGTTTTGCATAAACAAAACCAATGCAGCTAAGATTAGATGGAAAACAGAAAACTGGGAAAAAATCTTTGTAGCAAGTTTTTCATATAAAGACCTTGTTTCTCAAATACATAGAGAAATAGAATCAAATTTATAAGAATACAAGTCATTCCCTAGTTGATAAATGGTCAAAGTATATGAACAGGTAGTTTTCAGAAGAAGAAATCAAAGCTATCTATAGTCATGAAAAAATACCTAAATCACTATTGATTAGAGAAATGCAAATTAAAACAACTTTGAGGTACCACCTCACACCTATAAGAGTGGCTAGTATGACAGAAAAGGAAAATGATAAATGTTGGAGGGGATGTGGGAAAACTGGGACACTAATGCGCTGTTGGAGTTGTGAACTGATCGAACCATTCTAGAGAGCAATTTGGAACTATGCCCAAAGGGTCATAAATCTGTTGCATACTCTTTGACCCAGCAATACCGCTACTAGCTCTGTATCCCAAAGAGATTTTTTTTTTAAATGAAAAGGACCTAAATGTACAAAAACAATTATAGCAGCTCTTTTTGTGGGTGCAAAGAATTAGAAATTGAGGGAATGCCCATCAGTTGTGGAATGACTGAACAAGTTGTGGTATGTGATTGTGATGGAATACTATTGTGCTATAAGAAAAGCAGAATGCTTTCAGAAAAACATGGAAAGATTTATGAATGGATGCAAAGTGAAGTACACAGAACCAGAGGAACATTGTACACAGTTACAGTAATATTGTATGATGATCAGCTGGGAATGACTTAAGCTTTTCTCAGCAATACCAATTCCATGACAATCCAAAAGGACTCATGATGAAAAATATTATCCGCCTCCAGAGAAAGAATGGGTAAGGTCTGAATGAAGATTGAAGCATACTCTTTTCCACTGTCTTTTTTTTTACTGGAGTTTTTTTGGGATTTTTTGCTCTATATTTTTTCCACAATATGTAACTAATATGGAAATATGTTTTGCAAGGTTGCACATGCATAAGCTATATCAAATTATTTGCCATCTCAGGAGGGAACAGGGAGGAAAGGAGAATTTGGAACTCAGTTTGGGGGGAAAAAAGTAAAATAACTATTTTCAAAAAAGGAATATAAAAGGACCAATACATTTTGAAGGTTGGAAAGTATACTTGTGAACTTGAGTGGTGTTTTTAAGTTTCCTCAAGGTTTTAAATTGCAAGGGTTATTGGTCCTGCTGATCTCACTTGCTCTATGTTTTTAGAGTCAAATATTTACCAAACCAACCCACCAAAATCATTCTTTCTTGTCTAATCTCTTAGTTCATTTGGTTGGAGATGTTACTAATGATGCCAGGTTTCCGTATTGGATTACCACATAGACCATTTAGTTTTATGTAAAGAAAATCTATCTCATAACCAAAGATAGTATCCTTAATCCTGACCAGATGGCTTGCAAATGTGTGGTTAATTACAACTGTTATTAGATAAGATTGTGTGTCTCACAAAACCATTCATTAGCACTTTTGGAAATATCTTAGTGTGCATTTTCTGCTGGTGGTATGTTGGTAGCTTTGTAAGTGAGGTTGTTAAATATTGATTACTTATTACTATAGTGCAAAGTGTTTTGGAGGTAAAAAGATGACTAATACAAGAAGACTCTGCTCCCACAGAGCTCAGTAATTTAGCCAGAGGTAAGTGGCACACAGGAATGCCCAAATTCAGACTCTGCTATTTGACCCAGGCTACTACTTAACCTCTTGGCCTCACTTTTCTCATCTATAAAATGGGCATACTAATGACATCTACCTCATAGGTGAGAAGCAAATGAGCTAATGTATGTTAAGCACTTTATAAATCTTAAAGTGCTTTATAAATGTAGTTAATGATATTTTTAATAAAAATTCAAGAGAATGGAAAACTTAATAATGAACCTGAGTTGAATTTTTGAATATTGGCTAGGATTTTGATGATTGGAGATAATGTGTAGGGTGAAGAGTGAAAGAGCAAAGCCTAGAAAGTGTGAGGTATATTTCGAGATTCGCCCATATACCTATTGGCTTTTCATATTTAATTGTTTCCTTTGGTTTCTGGAAAACCAGATTAAGCTAGTTTGATTGGAATGAAGAGTTTAGGAACATGAGTAAATTGTGATGAATCAGGAAAGATACCGTGGGATCAGATGATGGAGAATGCCTTGAGTTATCACTCCAAAGAGTCTGTGTGGAGTGTCCAGTGCAAGCACCCTCTCAGGTTTGTGTTTCAGAATCTGACTGGGAGAGTCCCTGACAATTAATTCCACCCATGGCATGTAGATGGTATACCAAAGGATTTGGAACCAGTAAGACCCACTGTCTAATGCTGCCCCAGATGCTTATTAGCTGTGTGTTTTTGGACAAGTCACTTAAACTCTCTGCCTCAATTTCCTTATCTGTAAGATAGGGATAATAAAACCGTGACTTAGGGAAGAGAGGAATAGAAACACAGCTAATGTCAGTCCTTTCCCCATGCGGTACCATGGAAAGCACTAGCTCTAGAGTCTTAGGTGTTCAAATTCAGCTTCTAATGCTTCCTACCTATTTGACTTTGGGCAAATCGCTTAACCTCCCAAGGTTTTAGTTTTCTCATCTATAAAATTAAGAGGGTTAAACTTGGATGGCATCTGATGTTCCATTCTTCAAATCAGTTGTCCTATGATCATAGAAACATAGCATGGATATAATAGTAGTGATAAGAGAACTGGCTTTAAAATCGGGAAGACCTAGGTTTTAATTGGCCTTTGATGTGTGTGTGGTTGAGGGGTGGATGTTGGAGAGCAATGCCTGAGTCACTTAATTTTAACCTTTTCAGTGCTTCAGGCAACTTTTTAAGTTGCCACTCTTCCTTGATAGAGAAAAAGTTTCTCATCCAGTACAATTATAGGTCTGGTTACCAAAAGAGGTGATGATCCTATTCTGTGAGGGACCCACCTAGGCCCCAGACTGTCCAACTTAAAGAAGCTAAGAATGCATGGCATTGAGTATGTGTGGCAATTCAAGAGGTACTTGCCAAAGAGTAAGGAGGGAAGATAGAGACAAGGTACTAGGAATACAAAAGAAAAGGCTGAAAAAACAAAGAACCCAAGAGAAGGGAGTCTGTGACTATCAACTGGCCTTGCTTCCAAGCCAAATATTGAGACTCAAAGACAGAAGAAAAGAAAATGAATAAAATGTTTTTAAGAAGACAATAATACATTGAACAAGGGTTTACTGTGAAAGAAAAAGAATCGAAAATCCTCTCTCCAGAGATTATAGAATGGTGAGAAACTCCTGAATGTTTCCAAAAAGAGTACAACTTTTAAAAGAATTCAGACAACATGCTGAAAATGCTATTGCCACTAATAAAAATAGAGAAGTTAATGAGTGTCATAGACAGATGGTGCATATTCATTTTGTTTTCCTGAATGAAAAGTCACTGAAGCATTTTTCTGACAAGTAACTAGTGAATTGTGTTTTATGATATTCAACTTTCTGAGTTCTGCCAATGTGATATCCCTAAAAGACGGATGTGACTTTTTTGTTGCTATGCTGCTCAAAAACTTCCAGTATTTTCCTATTGTCTATTAAAAGAATTCTTCTTTGTGGCATTTAAAGCCCTTTTTAATCATTTCCAGCCTACCATTCTGAGCTACTTATGCATTACTCCCATCTGAACACACTGTATTCCAGCCAGATTGGCCTGCTTGCTGTTCTTGTCTACAGGTTTTTTGTTTTTTTTTTTGGTGAGGCAGTTGGGGTTAAGTGACTTGCCCAGAGTCACACGGCTAGTGAGTGGTATGTATCTGAGCATGGATTTGTACATAAATCCTTCTGACTCCAAGTCCAGTGCTCTATCCACTGCGCCATCTAGCTGCCCCCTTTGCAGTTCTATGTTATATTTCTGTGCCTTTGTACAGATTATATCCTGTTCTTGAAATGTAGTCCTTTATCATCTCTGACTCTAAGTTTTGAAAGCCCAGCTCAGGTGCTGCTTCTATAGAAGGCCTTTCCTGATTTCCCCACTCATATTTTAGTTACATCCCTCATCTCCCCAGTCTTTTCTCGGTTATTTTTGTATCTTTTTCACATACATTTATCTGTGTGCATATTACTTCCCCATACCAAATGTAAGTTCCTTAAGGGCAAGGACTGTTTCATTTTTGTCTTTGTATCTTTAGGGCCTACCACAAAATAGATATTCAATAAATACTTGATTCATTTATAAAAGATGATTAACAATATTAAAGTCTTTTTGTTATTATTAGAGATGAAATGAATATAAGAAGAATATTTGCATCAAAATTCAATTATCAAGATTGCCTCTTTAGTTTTAAATATACTAAAACTATTCAAAGTACAACTTTTAAGTATGCTTTTATTTTCATAAAACATGAAATGTTTTAAATGGCATATTTATATTTAGGGAGTACTGGATCTGTCTGATATACATTCTCCACCAAAATCCCCGGAAGGAAAGATGACAAACTCTCATACAGCACCCAGTAAGGTAAGTTGCCAAAATGAAAAGCATTTCTGGGATTAAGAAATTGCACAGAAACTGCTTTTGATTTTTCATTTTTATTGAAATGATAGTGTCAGATATAGCTGTGTTCTGTAGTTGGCTGAAAACGTCTATTTTTCCTTTATCAAATATGAAGACATCTTGTTTCTGTGGTTTGTCAATAGTACTTAAATACTGTGTCATGGATGTGAATTTGTTTTGATAGCTATAACTAGATTTGTTAAGTATTTGTATGTTTTCACCTGCTGTGGTTTATGGTGCTATTTTTTTCCTTCAAGTTTAAAAAAAATTTATACAGTTTTTATCTTAAAGATTTTGTCTGGGAATAATAGTCTGACTTTAGAATTCAGTGTTATATTAAATACTGTTAGCTTGGGTTTCTTTCAGCTTTTGTTAGATGCTCAGATTTGGAGTGAGGAACAAAATTTGATTTGTTGTCTTGTTGAGACTTGCTTTGAATTTTCCTTTTAAAATCTTTGGTTGCATTAGTTGTCTGTGTTTTCTGGTTATATTCTCCTGTATTTTTTATGTTGTACTTAAAAAGACAAACTCAGGGAGGCTAAGTGATTTGCTCAGGGTCTCACAGTGTCAGCATCTGAATTTTAACACGGAACCTAGAGGCAGTGTTTTTCCTACTGCACCCTGTGGGGAGAGGACAGGTTAAAATGGTTTTTGCTGATAGAAGGAAAAATTCAGATGAACACTGTAGCTTAAATTCCGGGCAGCATATTGTGTGACTTGATTCTTCATAGTACTTCGGTTTCAGCTACAGTAAGGAAAGTAGTATCACAACCTATCCATGATAATTTGTGTTCTACTATCTACTTTCTGTTTTGTGTGTGTTTCACTATTTTCTTTTCAGTTATTTTTTTGTAAAAAGTCACTAAACCAGGTAGCTTATCAATCAGGTGAAAGTAGTCATTGCTTGACTATTCCATGCATTGAAATTGGGAGGAAAAAAAACATTACTTTGAGGTGAGTTGTTAGTGTAGTGGGTTTTAAAAAAAATTTTGAGGTGGGGAGAATGGAAATCTTGAAATATCTTATTTCTAAATAGGCAAAAACCCCACTCTATTTTATTTGTAGTTCTCTATACCAGTGAGGCAGGAAATAGGATGAGACATTCTCTTTGCTAGATTTCTTACCTATTAGACCTTTCTTTAAATTTAATTTTTTATATTAATCAAAATATTTGTAGTACATTATAGTGGAAGTAAAGTGAAATACATAGATTCAGTTGAATAAATCTTAAAATGAACCTGTTTTAAAAATTTAAAATCAAGTGTCTTCTATATAAAAGGTCTTCTATATAAAATGAACCTGTTTTAAAAATTTAAAATCAAGTGTCTTCTATATAAAAGGTCAGTTTCCTTCCATATAGAAATAATATTTTAGTTTAGAGATGATAGAGATAAGATCACAGAGCTGTTGGAGTAGCTCTGTTTTTAAATTTATATGGGTACTTATAGTATAACTTTTTAATAGCTATTTTTTTTTTAGAGAACCAGAATCCCAAGTATAGATCTCCTTTTTACTTAAGTACTTCAAGGGTCTGGTGATGTCATCTGTAAGGGCTATCCTTCCTCAAATGCAGATTGCAACCCTTCTGCCACTTATGTGGCCACAAAAGCCATCGTCTTGTAGCAGCCAGTGAGCCTCTTCCAACTTAGGCCGGTCCTTGAATGATAGACATATGGTCTATCACTGGGCCAACTTTTTTGGAAGCCTGTTCAGCTTGGGTAAGACTTGCCAAAGCTCATGCTTCATAGGCATAGCCTTTGAGACTGAAGGTCATCTCCATATTGCAGATGAGGCATCTGAGTACTTTGTAGAATATAGTCTTTCGACCTTCCAAATTTATTATACCATTAAAATGAAATTTATTTTTCTTTATTTTTGTTTCTTGAACCTTAAGGAATTAAGGAAGTTATAATTTGGATTTTTATTTTAGTCACCTAGGAAATATGTCTGAAAAATAATAGAAATAATGTCTCATCTCAGTTACAGATAAACCTGTAAGCTGTATTCTGAGGAGCGTTATGTTTTCCCTTCCCCTATTTTGTTTTCCAAAAGGAGATTATACTTCTGATTTACCCTTTATCTCTGGGACATAGGGGCTTCTAAATACATATTGCAAATCTAGTAGTCCTGTAGTAAGCCTGGAAATTCCCTGATGGCTAAGGGATTTACTCTAAGCTCAAGCCCACCCTCATTCCAATTAGTTCTAGCCTGGTCTTTGAGAATGTTGTTTTACCACCTTCCCTTTTTAAACTTTTTTTTTGTCTATTTCCCCAACCTTAAGGCTATACAAATAACCAGATAGCTCTGAAACTGTGTGGGTAGAGTGGTCTCCCTGTAGGCAGAAGTGGGCCCCAAATCAGACTCCTTGAACCAAATAATTTACCATCTTAAAAGCACTTCCTGAAATTAAAAGGATAATAGCTATCCAGCTTATTGTTTGGATTGCCCAGGACAAGTATGGCTATTTCTGAGTCATCACAAATTTAAGTTATATATTGTCCACATCTGACTAAGCAATTGTTGGAAAACAATTTATACCAGAGTGTGAACAGAAAGGGAGACAAAAAATTATTCTTTAAGTAGAGATTTTCCATTTATTTAGAAATTTCCATTAGTTTTCATAAGAGTGGTTTATGAGCAATCCATTATTTCTTGATATTATACATAGAAGGATATATATTTTGTGGTAAAAGATGTCATTTTATTCTCATGCTCAGATACCAAGGTATAAAGGACAAGGTAAAAAGAAGAAAAGCGGGGAGAAGTCTGGTGAAAAGGTAAAATGCATGAGAGCAAAAAGGCCGGCAAGTGCTTTTAGATTCTTTAGGGAAAAGCAGCCTATGCTGAGAAGTCCTCATAGTGGGTTTGCATTGGCATCATGCTGTGCTTATGATTGAGTTTAAAGAACAAACTTCTTGGTTGTTTTGTTTTGTTTTGTTTTTGAAATGTCAGTCATTCATTTTTGATTAGAGAACCTAAGAACTTAGATGTTAGTTTGTATAAGACAAAATGAGTTCCAGTTGGCATAACCATTTTAAAGTTCAGCTTTTACTGAAAGAAAAATCACAAGGGTACAGGTTAAACATAAGCTACAAATGTTGTTTTTAGGTTTTTATTAGCAGGTAAATATAGATTTAAAATTTTTCCTTTTTTTAAATGAATGTAAAGCCTTGTGAATATATACCATTTAGCTTCTGTTATACAGATATTTAAATTTTAAAAATTAAAATTTTCTTAATCTTTTGTCATCTTAAATCTCACTATATCCTTTCTTCTCTCCAAAGAGCCATTCCATATAACAGAAGATATATACATATGCATATATTTACATACACATAAATATACATATATGTATATATAAATATACACAAATGTACATATATGTATATGTAAGCATTTAATTTTTTCTCTTTAAGAAGTTACTGTTTGGTTGCAGTAATTTAAAACTTAATTTTATATAGTTTCTCTATCACATACCATTTTTGTACCTCATGTTATTTACTTATAAAACCCCTGATTTAGTAATCTAGGGAGTAGCCTGTGATTGGAGATGAGATGATAAGATGAGTAACTTAATTGCTGTTTTAATCCCCTTAGATCACAGATAGTTATTAGACTTTAGATTAGCTACCTGTTTTTTTTTTTAATTTAAAAATTGGGAGTCTGAAAGAAACATTGTAAATAGATTTTTGAAGTGATTTATTTAAAATGTATACATTTATTTCATTTTGCAAAACTCATCTCTATACAGTGCTCTTATTAACTTTGAATATTTTTGTACTGTTTAAAACTCTTTTTCAAGATAAGCTAATACTTTCCAGGATCAAAAGTCTCTTAGTCAAATTGGTTTTACAAGTATAACGAAAAGGAAGTAACTTTGAATCAGTTGACAATTATGACCTACTACAAAGAGGTGAATTTCGTGTCCCTACATTAAAAACAACAAAAAACTCCTGAAAACCTTTTTTGGGGGGTGTATTTTATAAACATGTCCTTAGGAAGCATATTAAGGTTATCACTGTGCTTCTGGATAAGATGGGTAAGACACCTAAACAGACACTCAGACTTGATTTTTGTCAAATTAACCAGCATAGTGTTGAGCACGGTAACTAATACGTAGTAGTTTGGGGCTCTGGTTTGTCATTTAATTTCTAGCATTTTTGAACATGAACTTTATCTGCCACCAGCTTTTGAATTCCATTTTTGTAGACATGTTACCTCTGCCATAGCCACAGTTAGTACTCAGTTGTTGTCTGTCTTTAGAACCACAGGTGATTTCATTGTTTAGACCTATATCTGTTACCCCTTACCTTACTGCTGTTTTCTGAGTATATAGCTCTATGTCCCGAGTTTCCTGTAAGATGTAAGAAATGCAATAGGAAAAGTTGAGAGAGTAGGATCCATTTCAGAATCAAATAGTCTGTTTTGTTAAGCGTTTAAAACTTTTCACAACCTTGTTCTGACCTAACTTTACAGGCTTATATTGTAGATTATAAATTTATCACCTAACTGGAACTACTCTCTCCAGAGTTACCTTGTCTATCCCCCTAGCCTCTCCTAGAAAATCATGCCTTATAATAATGAATTTTTTAAAAGGATAGGGAAAAAAAGTTTTATCAAAATTAACCAATGCGTTGAAAAAGTAGTTATGAACGTAACTGAACAGTTTTCCACATCCACACCTCTCCAGAAATGTAGAGGGAGATGTCCTCTCATCTCTTGTCCAGCCTTACTCATTATAACTCTTACAAACTATTGCCTTCTGCTTTTCTGTCAACTTTTTCCACTTAAGTATTTTGTATTATGTATCTGTTAATTACGCTTTCCTTTCTTTGTTAAAATCATCCACCATTGAGTCATTTTTTTCCTAACCTGCCAATTGTTTTGTGATATTTAAGAGGTCTTTATAATCTCTTTGCAGTTTTTATACTAATTCTTCTAGTTTTGAGATCTCTTAATTTATTTGCTTGTACTCTGGATTCTTATTGAATTTTCTTTTTGAGATCTTTGGTGTTTCAGTCCTTTCTGTCATTCTATTTCTAACTCCTCACTTGGTGAATAACCTTCATCACAGCTAGGCTGCAAAGTGACCTCAGCTTTGGAGATTTGTCATTCATTGGTATAGTCGTTGCAAGTAACATTGGGGAGGGGATGAGACTGGCTCCAGGTAGACTTCAGCCTCCTTTCCTTCAGGCCTGGTGCAATAATACATACTCTTCCCCTGCCCTACCCTGGTTTTCCTTTTCTTTTCTACTTGGTTTGGATCATCACTGGCTGTATTGCATGAGTGTGAGAGAGACCAGAAAGGGTGTTTTGAATAGTCTCTGCAGTCTTTGGGGAAGGGCGGATCCTGTAATCTAGGGGCTTCTCCAGACAGAGAACAGCGTATTAATCTCTCATGCAATCACTGTCTGCTTGTTAGAGTTAGAGGGGAGAAGAGAAGAAGGAGACCAGGTATGCTAACAAAGTCTTTGTTGCAGAAGAGGATTCAAATATGGCAAGAGGGGATTCCAATAGGCTCTAGGCCTTAGGTGCTGCTGAAAGTGTGAAGCCTGGGTGGCAGGGGTACTGAGTGATTTTTTTTTTTTTTGAGGATTAGTATTCTCTAATGTTAATTCCTAAAGATTTTACCTTGTCATTATTCTTTCTTTTTATATGTATGGATTCTGCAGTAGCTGCTCTGCTTCTGGTGCTTAATTCCTCTTTGGGGGTGGGTTTTTTTTTTTCGAGATTTAGCTTTGACCCCAGCAACCAGTGATTTCTTAATGGCCTTTTCTTAATCATTGTCTGTCTCAACAGCTTTTGGGTACTTCTTCCTCTCTGGATTTTTGTAATGCTGTTCTCCCCGATTCACTTTCTGACCTTATGTTCTCATTCTCCTTTTTTGATGAATCGTCTTCATATGTCCTGCTTTCTAACTGTGGGTTTACTCCAAGGCTCTGTCCTGGGCCTCTTCACTCTTTCTGTTTGCTCTCTTGGTGACCTTCTAATTTCCCATGGGTTCAGTTATCTTCATACAGATGATACTCAGATCTATATATCCTACTTTTAGTTTCTCTTGAGCTCTTTTTTTTTTTTTAAATCTCCCTGGGTAGGGGAGTAAGTTCCTTGAGGGCAGAGACTTCCTATTTTTGTCTTTGTATCCCCAGACCTTCGCACAGTACCAGGAATATTGTAGGTATTTAATACATATTTATTGATTGCAAGAATTGCCAGGAATGATTGTAAAGGACAAATTGAAGAGAGTAATGAATGTGAATGAAGGAAAGGTAAAAGCTGGAAAGCTAGCACAGATATCTGGGGAAATATGTTTTGTTCACTTTGGAAACACTTCATTTCAAATTAAAATTGTATGTATACTGATTGTATGTATTGATCATTAATGATAACACATGGCACTTTGCAAAACCCTTCATTGTAGATTCTTTGATGTAACAAACAAGGATACATTCTTTTGTTTTTGCTAGGGGAACCTTTTGGAGCATTATGTATATAACTTCTTGATCTATACAACTTCTTGATCGTTCCAACCAAAAATAGTCAGAACCTAATTTTTGAAGTGTTTAAGCCATTAGAAAGATGATTATCCAATGAGAAATTGACAATTTGTTGATTTTTGAGCTTATTGAATACCTTTAACTTTTGATTAAGTTAAACACTTTTGAAAGGCACATTACTACCTCTTAAAGACCATAGAAGTTTCTTTTGGAGTAAATTGTCCTATGGCACCCTGACATTCTAAAGAAGTAATTGCACATAGCCGAACTATTGATTTGTATCAGATTCCCCCCACCTTCACTTTAAGAAAAAAATTTGAGTGGGTTTCTTTAATCGTCGTAGTTGTTGCTTATCTTTTGTATTTAGAGCAAGCTGTTTCCAGAGAGTATTGGTCTCTTTTTTCCCCCTCTTTTGTAGTGGATTTTCACATTAAAAAAATTTTTTTCACAGGTACTGTTCTTTTTTGGTACTTTTGGCTATTACTCTCAGAGAATTGAATCTTAAACCAAGAAATAGTTTACCTTTTGAAGATTAAGAATAAGGTATTTTTGCATATGATGGGCAAGTTGATTTTTTTTTTTGCTGTTTGAGAAAATCTAAAAAGATATCATAAATAGTGTATGATTTTCAGTAACAATAGTATTGTTTCTTTAATCTGAAACTCCTGTGTCTTAGTGCAGATTAAGAAATTAAGTTAGAGGGACAGCTAGGTGGCGTAGTGAATAGAGCCACAAGTCCTGGATTCGGGAAGACCTGAGTTCAAATGTGGCCTCAGACACATAACACTTACTAGCTGTGTGACCCTGGGTAAGTCACTTGACCCCATTGCCTGATCAAAAAAAAAAGTTAGAAAACAAAACTTGGTTTACCTGATTTTAAGCTAATGCTAATTCTAGCTATACAGTTCCCTACTGGAAAATGAGATGCACATCAGTGCTAAAGGCATTTAAGATAATGCCAGTCAAAATTCACTAATAGAATTGTTAGTTAAATAAGTAATTATATTATTATTTGTATAAATGTCTGTATCTCTTGGAGTACTGATGATGAAGTACCATTTACTGTGGGTGGATAATCAGATAAGGTTATTTTGGGTCTCATCTGAGGGAGTTTATTTACTGACGTATGTACCTAAATTATGTTATTTTGCTGAAGGTTTAGTGTTAGGGCATAAGTTCTAAAGTGTTATAGTAAAACCTAATGTGCATAATAACCAATTATTGGTTAAAACCCATGAGTGTAATGAAATAATATATCCTGAAATGTCACTCTGACTCTT